TTGACTTGTATTTTTCTGTTTTTCAACTGTTTTGTTTTGTTTATTATTATTATTATTTTACAGAACTTTTTTTCTTTTTGTTCTTAATCCAACTGAACTCCTCTCTCTTCACTCGTCAGACATGTTTGGACACAGTCCACAGAGTGAGGCGTGGACATGACAGGTTTCATGAAGATATCAATTTAAATGTCAATCGAGAGTCGTCCAGACGGCGGAGCGTTGAGCTGCAGCTGAATAACAACATGTGTGTGTGTGTGTGTGTGTGTGTGTGTGTGTGAGTTCATGTCTGAACTCGTCCAGACACAGAAAACAAAAACGCAGGTTCAACCTGAGACGGAACAGAACTTCATTCCAGACCTTCGTATGAACTAACGTGGAAACATGAATCACTTCGACACCTGATGGTCATGAATTAAAATGAATTAAAAAACAGAACATGATGAATTCAGTTTAAAATTAAAACATTATAAATATTATGAACAGATATTTTTAAAAACTTTTTTGTTTGTTGTTGTTGTTTTTTCAAAACAATATAAATAATATTTATTAGAAACTTTCATTTGAAAATGTAGTGTTTCATGAATGAGGAAATAAAAACAAAAATTAAACTGTAACAAACAAATAAAAAAATAATAATTAAACTGCATTAGTAAAGACCGGGTGTTTTGTTAAATAATAATAATAATAATAACTTTTTTTTAAATTGAGTTCAACTAAAATACAAATCTTTCAACAAACCCAGTGCTGCTCAATAAAAAACAAATCATAAGAATTTATATATTTTTAGAGTTTGTTTTGGTTCAACATCACACTGAAATCAAACGGAGTTTTTTTTACATTCCTCAAAAGTGAAAAAAAAAAAACTTCCACTTCAGCCGAGAAACTCCAGCTCAACCTTCACTCAGTTCTGAGTTTCTCTGAAGGACAAAGGGGACAGAACCGGTTTCTCCCTCGCCCCCTGGTGGTCTCTGTTGTCCCAGGTGGGACGCCTCACTCGCCGGCTCCGCTCTTTGTCTCCACTGAGTGGCAGCGGTGGCGCCAAAGCACCAACGTTTAGACACAACTACTGTATCACTCAACAAACTTCTCCCCCCCCCTCCCCTCCCCCTCCCCCTCCCCCTACTCCTCCTCCATCCCCTTCCCCTCCTACTTGTCCTCCTTCACCTCCTCCATCACCTACTCCTCCTCCACCTACTCCTCCTCCTCCACCTACTCCTTCTCCATCACCTTCACCTCCTCCTCGTCCTCCTTCACCTCCTCCTCCACCTACTCCTCCTCCTCCACCTACTCCTCCTCCATCACCTTCACCTCCTCCTCATCCTCCTTCACCTCCTCCTCCTCCTCCACCTACTCCTCCTGTCTTAATTGTCCGACTGCAGGACAGGAAAAAAGCAAAGTGAAGTGAATCAGGCCGACTTCCTGGTGCTGGACGTCTGTTTTTAGACGTGATCTGCCGATGGCTGAAATTAAACATCGGCCGCGATGAACGCGATGAACGCGATGAACGCACTCCATCCACCCACCACTTCCTGTCGCTGCCACAGGGTGGCACAACAAACAGACGTTTGTGCGTAAATACAGGGAACACAGAATGGAAAAAAAAAAAAAAAAAAAAAAAAATTTTATTTCCAAAAAAC